GTGACAGGCTGTGTTCTGAACGTATTTATTCTGCAGGATAAAAGCAGAATAAAAGCGTTTTGTCTTTGACAATCACTTGAGAATGTCTTTCTCATCACATAATTTGAGGGAATGAATTGAGGAAACGTCTGATTTTCTTACATTCATCTTCACCTTAAAGGAAATATGCTGAAAAGTCACTGAATCACGTTTGTTTTCTTGCATCTTCTGCAGGTAGAGCGTCTCTGTGTCACTGCAGTTTTTCACTTGTTCTGCTGGCCTAGCATGAAGCTTTCTGCCATAGCTGCTCCAGCATTAGCTCACACCGTCATTAGCTGCTCTGGCAGTTGTGACTATACGTGGAGAGAGTGAGAGACTGTTGTTAGTGCCAACATGTCAACAAAAAAGATTGTTTAACACTTGGATAATGTTAGCCAGCAGCTTGCATGAATTTGCACCAATTTGCAAACCAGAGTTATTCTAAATGTATGAATTAAAACTGTGTGCATGACAGTGACGCTGCACAGCTGTAGCTCATTACTAACATCAGTGGTTCGATTCCCGGCTCCTCCAGCTGCTATCGTGTCCTCGCTGGACCCGCTGCACCCCAGATTGCTCCCTTCAGCATTTCAGTGAGCCTGGCAGCTCAGAGACAGCGAAACGTAAAAATAAAGTGTGAATGTGCACATGGGTGAAATATGCTCAGTATAAATATACTTATAAGTGCCATGTGTATGTCTGTTATAATACATGAACACAGTCAGAGGGTTGACTCACACAGTCATGCTGAACATGTTGAGGCAGGCATCCTGCAGCCAGCAGCGATGCTGAGCCCTGCTGTGCAGGAGTGGAGCAGTAACAGTGCTGAATCACTGTTATGCAGTTAACATAAGCCTTACAGTTGCTCTGCACAGTCCTCAGTCAAAGCATGAGGATACAGTCGAATATAGAGATGCTGTAGCGAGAAGCTGTGAAGTGCACGTCAGTTTCACTAAACTGAAAGGTTTTCTTAACTAGAGACACAAAGCTGACGACACGTTGAGATTTCCTGTACAGGCAGACGCAGCAGCCCTGTGTTTATTGTCCATGAGCCACATCAGTGTCTGTTTTCCACTTTCAGCCAGATGTTCTAATGTCCTGTTTGTAAAGTGGATGTGATGTTTCCACATGTGAATATCAAAACCAAAACAAGCACAATTACAGATTTGTTGACTTGTTTACATAATATTTCTAACAATATCCCAACATCAAGGTGCGTCACTGTGTTTTCTCATCAGTGGTTGGTTATAGTTGTGGTTTTAGATAGTTTCATTTCTCTGCTTCCTAAGGTGACGACACGATGACAGGCGACGGAGGGGAGTATCTGAGGCCTGAGGATCTGCGGGAGCTGGGAGATGACTCCCTGCCAGGACAGTACCTGGATGGGATGAACTACCTGCGCTTCAGCCTGGAGGGGGGACGAGCCGACAGGTGCATCAAACTCTGCCAAACACTGAGAAACTCGCTGTGAAACATGTTTCTGGATGAAATGATCCATGCACAGACTTCTGCACAGACTTCCAGATGTTCTCTATACAGCTTTACAAGCTGCAGCTCACGCAGCTGTTTTAATAACTAACTCTTTTCCCTTTATGACATTTTGTGTAACCTACTTGTGCATTTCTTCCCACCCTTTTTACTCACATTGGCTCCGCCCCATTCAGTGTGTGCACAAACAGCTAACTGCCTGTATGTTGTGTGTCTGTTTGCAACCTCTTCACACTTCATGGTCTTTTCATATCTACATAATCGAATGCAAAGGTATGTGCTGACTCCATCCACGTATCTGGACTTCTAAGTCTTCAGCACCAAGTTTCCAGTTTATTCATTTATAATGCACTTTCAAAAACAACAGTTGTTGACCAAAGCACTGCACAATAACACAGTCATAACAAATAAAACAGAATATAGATTAAGAGAAAATAGAATCATGTAAAGAACAATAGAAACAGATTTATCTTGACTGAAAAGAAGAGTAAAAGTGGTCTTTAGACGGTTTGACCGTCTCCAGTGTTGGAGAGGTCCTGACATGCAGGAGCAATGAGCACAGTCACGGCAAATGCCCGGTCTCTGTGTTTTAACGTCAAGCTTGGGATCTTGGGGGAGAATACCGGGTTAGGAAATCAGGAAGATATATATGTAACGTCTTACAAACAAGTGTTAAAATGTTAAAATTAATTCAAAAGCTGACTGGCAGCCAGTGTACTGGTGCAAGTATGGCAGATATGTGATCCCAGTTAGGAGCCGTGCTGCAGTCGGCCAATTGATGTAGCGGTAATACCAGAGTAGAGGCTGTTACAG